AATATGACACTAAAAAATAAATTAGATGAAAAAAAGCCTTAATAACTATATATACTTAATAGGATATATAATATTGTGTAAAATAAATATATAAAAATAAATTTATTATTGCACCTTTACAAATAGTAATGTACATATAAAATATCACAAAAAATAATTTATCATCCATCCGTTCATAGTACGGCTATACACTAGTAAAAAAATAAATAGAAAGGGGCGATGTAACTGAACAAAATCTAGGGTAAATATATATATGGTAGATAGTAGATAACTCGAATGGATGAAGTAATTATTTTGATAGATCGACAAATAATATAAAAAATAAAAAAGTAAATAAAGAAAACAACTTAGAGCATCCACATCGGTAGATTTCTCCTACGAGAGAAACCTATACGTCAAATTAAAAAAAAAAAAAATCAAAAAATCAAAACTCAAACTTTTCCATGTCAGAGTAGAGCGTCGCTACTTCTGCAGTGCTTGTGTAAAACCCTGACATTGGTACTATTTTTGTCATGTTCCAATTAAATTGGAACATATAGCAAAAAAAAATATTTATTTTTAATTATCTTTTATACACTTTATTTTTATTATATATATTTATTAATAATTTTTATATTATTATATTATAAAATTTTATTCTTTACAAAAAGAATACCAATATTGATATATTTTTGTTTAATAAAATTTTGATTAAATATAATAAATTAATAATAATAACAATTTAATTTTGTAATTATCTAATAATTTATTCATTAAATTACACAAATAATTAAAAAATATATAATTACTGAATATGTAATTGAAATTTTTTTTAAAAAATAAATATAATATAAATTACAACATTGGATTTAAAACACATCATAATAATATTAAAATCGACAAATATAACATACATAGTGGCTTAGAAAAGTAAAATATTAAAACCAATAAACATAACATACAAAATAACCAAGAAAATAGAATATTAAAAGTAATCAATATAACAACATAGATAATTAAACAATTCGTTGAATAATTTGGTCTTCAATTTTTTCTCATCTGCATCCAAATTTTCACCTCTTGCCAATAATATATTAAATATTTGAAACTTTTTGATTGGATAGGATCAATCTTCTTCTTTATTTTTTATTCTCTCATATCAGCAATACCACCCAAATGTTATATAGCTTTCATCTCTTCAAAATCCTCATAAAAAATATGTTTTGATCTTGTTTTTGTATTCATTTTTCCTTATTTTTGCAAGTTTTGACACCAGGGGACAAATAAGATGTGATTCATCAAAAGTGTCATTTTATGGTGTTGGAGGATTTAAACCTAATGAATATCCACCAACTTCATTAATTTTGGTTCTCTTCGAACCACCGCTACTATCATGAGAAGTTCCACTAACAATATTAGTAGCACAATAATTTGTATGTCATTTTGGTTCATGTTTCAACACACGTCATGCATGTTCATATGTGAAAGACTTACGACAATCAGCACAATATATTTTGTATGTCTTGTTTAAGAAATCATTATTAGATTGCACATTCTTTTTTGTTTTGTCAGCTTGCTTATAACAACTAACAAAATTTGAAACAGATTTACTAATTTTTTGCCAACGATTTTTACACTGATTTGAACTTTTTTTGTGTATCTGTATCCAACTTGTTTTCCATGTAGTATTCAAATATTCTCTTCAAAAATTCAAAACCTTTTTTTTATCAGTGTTTGTAATGGCATCTTTGTTTATGTTAAGTCATGCACTGAGAAGAAGTAAATCTTCCTCCTGATTCCATTTTTTTTTCATCTATCTAGTTGGAGTAATGATTTGCACATCATTAGTTGTGCGCAAAATTCAAGAATGTCTTCTGTATGTGCATTTCACATTAAACCAAGTGGTGAATGATAGGATCAAACTTCAAATACTTGAAATTTTGGCGGGTAAAAATTTGGTGGAATAGAAGAGTATTGTGAACTATAGAAATTTGGGAGTGTTTTAACATTGAAAGTGGAATTTTGGTTTGACGACGTTTGTGAAGATTCTTGATTTTCAAGCATATTCATAAAACTCGAAAACATAAAAGGATGTTGAAGATTTGAGGAGTTTTGAGAATTTTGATCCATAATTGAAATAAATGTACGAAGAAATAAAAAAGATAGAAAGTTGATATGTTACTATATTAATAGAACACTCCTAGTACAAATAATTATGCCATCAATTGAATTTTCACATCACACCAACTTTTGTCATTGAATTTTTACAATTCAATAATATTTAATTTTTTATTTAATGACACATAAATACAAATTGTACCACAAAATTGAATTTTTACATCACATTAATTTTATTAAATTAATTATTGTACTAGTTTCTTACACAATTCTTATTTTTATCATTGTATTATCAAATCAATACTATTTAATCTTTTATTTAAAGACACAAATACAAAAAATTATACCATAAATTGAATTTTCACATCACATTTATTTTATTGAATTGATTATTATACTAGTTTCTTACACAATTTTTATTTTTATGTATCAAATCAATAATATTTAATTTTTTATATAGACACATAAGTACAGAAAAATTGTACCATAAAATTGAATTTTCACATCATATTAATTTAATTGAATTGATTATTGTACTAGTTCCTTACATATTTTGGACTCTTTTTATTTGTAACATCAAATCACACTTATTACTATAACATGTACTACATTGTTGGAAATTAACTATAAATAATCCATTTTTTATTATTTTTACAACATCATTCATTCTAAAAACCACTTATGAAAAGCTATATTCTATCTCTTTCAAAAAATCATCATTGTTAGAAAAATGTCTAATCCATCTCAATCAAATACTAGTATTGATTTGGATGATGAGGTCGAAACTATTTCTCATTGGTGGACAATACACCAAAATATTCAAATAGTTGTGGGAGATTTTTCACCAATGAGGCGGGAAGTTCTTCTCAAAATTAGAGAAGAATTTACATTGAGAGAAATCGTGAAGAAGGTCACAATCATTTATTTAACGATTACTTTCGAAAAATCCTGTATATACAGATGATCAATTCCGTCGTAGATTTGAGTGAGAAAGCATATGTTTCTTCGTATTATCAATTATCTTACAAATGAAGTGAAATATTTTCAACAACGTCCGGATGCTACGGGAAGGCTTGGTCTATCACCAATACAAAAATGTACATCGCTTTACGGATGTTGGCTTACGGAGTTGCTGCTGACAATGTAGATGATTATGTTCGTATTGGAGAAAACACTACGAGAAAGTGTGTAATTAAGTTTGTTGAATAAGTTATTTAATTGTTTGGTAAATAATATTTAAGAAAGCCAAACACTACCAATTTACAACGACTTCTCTTTGTTGCAGAAGAATGTGGTTTCCCATGGATGATCGGTAGTATTGATTGCATGCAGTGAGAATGGAAAAATTGTCCGACTGCTTGAAAATGTCAATTTTCACGTAGAGATCATGACAAACCAACAATTGTATTAGAGGCGATGACATCGTATGATCTCTGGATTTGACATTCATTTTTTGGTACACTTGGTACACCAGGTACATGCAATGATATTAATTTGCTTGATCGATCCCCAATATTTAATGATGTTTTGAATGGCAGGGATCCGAAAATAAATTTTTGTTGTCAATGTTTTGAATGACAGAATATTTAGAAAATCGAATCAAACTTCGAGATTGTGAAACACATCAAATTTGGTTCTCCAAATAATTAAGTTGTTTGATATTATTTTAATTTAAATAATTGTATTACTATATTTGCAATTATTTTTTTCTTCTTTTATATATAGATTATTATATTAAATATGTTTTTTATATTGAATTTTTATTAAATATAAACAATTATAATTAAATAATAATATAATCATAATTATAAATATTTGTTATTATTTATAAATTAAATTATTAAATAAATAAATATGTATATTAGATAAAAAAAAATTTTTATTATTTAAATTATTTTTAAAATAAATAATTTAATAATACGAAGGAAAAAGAAATTAAAACTTGCATAAATGAGTTTTTTTTATGGAGGTATACAATGAAATGAGTTTTTCCGATAAAGTGGTTGAGAGAGAATATGATGTAAAAGAAAGAAGAAAGAGGAAAGAAACCACGTTGAATTTCATTGATGCTGATGACCTTAAGCATTCTAGAAGTGAAACATTCTAGTTCTTTTTAACTATTCATATGGTGACAAAATATTTATAACTAGCAGTGAAATAATATTTATTTTTTATTTGACAATTTATTATTTTAAAAATATAATTAAATATTGTAGACTTGTTTTTCCTTTAAATTTTTTATTATTTATATATATATATTTCTTTTTAAAAAATATAAAAATTCAAAATTTTTTTACTAAATAATTTAAACTCAAATTTTTTAATTCACAAACAAAACACACTTATCCCTTATAGTATCAAATAATTTTATTATTAATAATATTTAATTTATCACTATTTACTTTAAGCAAAATGACAAACAATAATGAAAGGAGTATGCCGCAAGTTCTAATAAATTTTGATTTAATTCAATAACTAATAAATTAGTTTGACAGTCAGCAATTATGTAGTATAAATTAATTATAATATTTTATAAATAAAAATAATACTATCTCCGTTTTATTTTAAAATTTTATTTATTTATTTTTTATATTTAAATATTAATTATTATATTCGGTATAAATTAAAAAAATTATAAAAATAATTTTATTAATATTTTATAATATTAATAGAATATTAATAAAAATTATACAAAAATGATATCAAACAAAATATAAATATAATTCTTATAAATGAACGAAAAAATACCGTATTTTTATTAAAAACATACAAAATTAATTTGGTTTAAAATCTAAATACAACAAATCATGTATATACTTAAAATAGATTTTGTAATTATATGAGGGACTAATTTGAAAGTTTGCACCCTATGTTTTTTAGATTTATGTCCCAAATTGGCGTATAATTCAAAGTACTAACCCTCCCTAGTCTCCACAGTTTCAAACCTAAGCAGCAGCAGCAGCAGCAGCAGCAGCGCTTCATTCACCACCGCGAACCGCCGTCTCCCGCCTCCTCCACCGCCTCAGCGTCCGCCACTTTCCGTGATCTCCTTCTTCCTTTCTTCGTCTCCGCTCGAGAAGCTCTCCAGCACTTGGACCTAAAGCCTCCATCAACCACTTGCTCAGCTTCCGAGTTTCTCTGTGAAGTTCTACAAAAATTGGGGTTAAATCGCGTTGCTCAAATTTCCTTCCAGCTACGCGGAGGAATCGCAGATCTGCTCCCGATCCATTTGTCGTGGACCGTGGTAATTGACAAATTTTGAACTCCGTTCGAAGATGGATATTGGGGGAAACTCTCTGCCGTCGGGACCGGATGGAGTGAAGCGGAAAGTGAGCTATTTCTATGACCCGGAGGTCGGTAATTACTATTATGGGCAAGGGCACCCGATGAAGCCGCACAGAATTCGGATGACTCATGCTCTGCTCGCGCACTATGGTTTGCTGCAACATATGCATGTTCTCAAGCCAAATCCTGCCAGGGAGAAAGACCTCTGCAGATTTCACGCCGATGATTATGTTACTTTTTTGAGGAGCATCACCCCAGAAACACAGCAGGAGCAACTCAGGCAGCTGAAGAGATTTAATGTAGGAGAAGACTGTCCTGTGTTTGATGGTCTATATTCGTTTTGTCAAACTTACGCCGGCGGTTCTGTCGGTGGGGCGGTTAAGCTAAATCATGGGCATTGTGATATAGCGGTGAATTGGGCTGGTGGCTTACATCACGCCAAGAAATGCGAGGCTTCTGGTTTTTGCTATGTGAATGATATAGTATTGGCCATCTTGGAGCTTCTGAAAGTACATGAGGTTGATTTTAGTTCTGCATCTTCACCTTCCCTTTCTCCTCATTATTATTATTCTTTTTTTAGGGTTTGTTTTATTTTATATAGCTGATCTATGGATTACCAATACCTTGAGTGGCATACTAAGAATTAGTTGTGTTTGTGGTTTCTATGCTCATGCCTTTTGAAGATGGGGACTGCTATGGATTAAGTATCACAACTTTAGGTCTATCGATATGAACATATTTTTTAGGAAAATCCATTGTGTATCTTTGACAGAACCAACGCAATCTCTTTCACATCCACCATCCTAATGGTTTGAATCCTAGAACAGTACAAGACAACAGTCTTAAGTCCAGTGCCATTAAATTTAGGAATAAGTAGAGCCAGGTTAGTTGTTTAGTCCTACTTTTGTGTCTATCTTGACTCTTGAGGTTAAAGAACATCTATCATCTCTTCTTAAGTAGCAGTAACCATATTTTAGCCCCAAGGCCTGCGTATAATCGTTGCTCCTAATTAACTGGTTTATTAGTGTTGTATTATGGGTGAATTTCTATGGTATCACTTGCATTGCTGTGGGTTGTTTGTGGAAGCGGACAATGTTGTGGAACCCCTGGTGTTGCTATAGGTTATTTGTGGAAGTTGTGATTATGAATCCTGGGATGGTTGCTCATTAAAGGTTTTGAAGTCATAGATTGTGTTAAGTGCAACCATTGCTTTTGGAATAAAGCTGTGATTCTGGTGCCTGGTGCGGTTTAACTGAAAATGTTTTGGAAGAGTGCTCAATTATTCCCTGTAGTTGAGGATGCTCTTAGTAGCTCTGGTGGCTGTTTCGGTGCAGTGAAATTGTGGATTTTGATGCTCAAGTTGAATAAATCTTTGGAAATGTTGATCATAATAGTGACAACTGTCCGCCTCCATCATTAAGTTGTGGATTGTTCATTCAAATTGCTCTAACAAATTAGTTCAGTTTGAGAGGGATGCCAGATATATAGCTTAGTATTCATAAAAATATTTTACTTGTTGCCTAGTGTATGGAACAGGTTTTTATTATTATGTGGAACTGTGTATAGTTAATAAGGACTATATCTTATTTTCATATTAATCGATCTAATTGTGATACCAAAGTTTTGAAGTTGTATGTGATGTTTTCTTTGCCATCAGTTGACATTGAATATCTACAGCATTATAAGTAATGCTATCACAAGATCGTATGGCTGGCTGGAATATTTTTTTTATGCAAAATAGTATGTATTTGTTATAACAGATGGTGACAATTTGAATTATATGTATAGTTTGTATTGTGTTTGTAAATTGATTTTTCTAGAAAATAAAAATAAAGATATTCATTAGGTGATTTCTTAAAGAAGTAATGGTTGGGTTTAAGTGTTTACAGTTTAGTTGAATGTTATTATGATTTTAAATATGAACTTGAATTTACATAGGAAGTAGTTATAGTTAAATATTTGATTTTGAAATTTATGCTGTGAAAATGAGATAAATTAGTTTGATGTAACTGTATAGTGTATACTTTACTGCGGTGGTAACAAATTTGTGGAAAGAAATAATCAATAATAGTTTCTGCCACAGAGAAGCCTAGGGCACTTTAATTGCAAACTTTTGGTAGAAACATCACACGTTCCAGCAAGCTCTCTGCTAAATATCTACATTCTTCCATTGAATGCATTATTGGAAGGATACCTATCTTCAACTTATTTGTGTTCTCATAGTTTCTGAATTGGTCAGGTATTTGTAGTTCAATCTTTATTTTAGATTCTAATCTTGTTTCTTCCCCTCATTTTGGCAGCGTGTTTTGTATGTAGACATTGACATACATCACGGCGATGGTGTTGAGGAAGCATTTTACACAACAGACAGGGTCATGACTGTTTCGTTTCATAAATTTGGGGATTATTTTCCTGGTACAGGTGATGTGCGTGACATTGGATATGGAAAAGGGAAATATTACTCTCTTAATGTTCCCTTGGATGATGGAATTGATGATGAAAGCTACCAATCCCTGTTTAAGCCAATAATGGGGAAAGTGATGGAAGTTTTCAGACCTGGTGCTGTTGTATTGCAATGTGGTGCGGACTCTCTTTCTGGAGATCGATTGGGCTGCTTTAATCTATCAATTAAAGGTCATGCAGAATGTGTTAAATTTATGAGATCTTTCAATGTGCCACTATTGTTGTTGGGAGGTGGTGGTTATACAATACGTAATGTTGCTCGTTGCTGGTGCTATGAGGTCAGATAATATTCTTTCCCTAACATCAATTTAAATTCTGTCAGTCACTATTATGATGACTTGCTGAAACATTGGTCTACCAAAAGTAAATCTACTCTCAATAATGCAAATTGCTTGATGCATCTAGTTTGTAGAATTGTGTTACGGTCCTTAAATTCACACAGTGTAAAGTGTGTATCTCCATATGGCCTTCATGAAACTTTGATAGTGTAACACACACCATGACCGATGTTTTGTTTTGCTCAGGTGAATCAGATAATGGAAATGAAATTTTAAGCGAATTGATTTTTAATCATAACATTGCCTATACTGCTTCAGTTTCTGTATATTGTGGGATGGACAAGGCCAAAAGTTTATAAATTAATTTTCTAAGAAGCCTTATGATGATCAGTGTCGTAGTTTGGGCTCATGCGTTAGCATTCTTAGCTGTTTTGGTAATTGAAGTCTGACTTTGAAATTATTATTGCAAGAAAAATATTTCTGGCAAATCATGTGTATTGTTATATGATATGAATGCTATTAACAGACTGGCGTAGCACTTGGGATTGAACTTGATGACAAGATGCCGCAGCATGAATACTATGAATACTTTGGCCCAGATTATACACTACATGTGGCTCCGAGTAACATGGAAAATAAAAATTCCCGTCATCTATTAGAAGAAATCAGATCAAAGCTTCTTGAGAATCTTTCCAAGCTTCAACATGCACCAAGCGTCCAGTTCCAGGAGCGTCCACCTGATACAGAAGTCCCTGAGGTGTGTTTTGCATCTTTTCTATCTATAGTCTATTTCTCTGAGAGTTAAAAATCTATCTTGGATGTGGGTTTGACCAAGGTTAATTAATCACTTGTCATTGTTATACGTAACCTTAAAATGACAGGTTTTATGTTGCTCAGTAACATGGGGTTACATTCTTACTTGGAATAGCAATGGCTGATGATCCTGCATGGCTTTTTAATTTTACCATTATTCAATGTTTTCTATTAACTTGATAGCACCTTCTCTTTTTTAGATCAGATCCATACACACAATACACCGTTTTGTTATTAGTACACTATGTTTTCATTATGAGTTCCTGGAATTCTTTCTCTTGTAATCAGATAATTTACTGCGGTTTTTTTTCTCACTGAGCTTGAAACAAGCAAAATATTTTTTAGTAAGAATTGGTGTTCTTTTTATTGTTTGATTTTAGTCCAGATACTTAAATCACCCTGTAGTTCGAGATGTTTTCACTTAAAATTTATATAGATGGTTCACAATATGGATATTTCTTTTGAACGGCGAGCTTTCTTCCACAAAATGTATTTGTGAGATCATGATCACATCTCCTTTAGTTCAGTGGGAATGCATTTCTTACATCCATACTGTTTTAGAGTTCTATTTGATGTAGGAGTTAGAGATTGACTTGCTCAGATAGCTTGACATAATAGTGTCAAATTAACTTATGCTCAGTAAGTACTCCGTGAACTGCTGTCATCTTTGGCATTCTCGTCTTCAGTGCAGACCTTAAGTCATCCTGCTCTACTACACATGATGACGATGACCAACAGTGAATAATTCATCATTATTAACATGTCAGTGTACCTGTGTCAGTTAAATCAGATTTATTTTGAAATCTCACATGGTGCTGCTGCTGGCTTTTTGAATCATTAATCATCTTGTAATTGACCAACTACTTTGGATGAAAACACAGATAGCTTGAAGTGACTTATCCAAACTTTGTACTTTGACCCATCTAATTACCTGACAGTTCATCTGAATTGAAATTTTAAATCTATGGAATGGATCTGTGACAGTTTGTTTATATTTATATTGTGAAAAGGGCAAGTAATTTTGAGTATTATACTGCATGTGTACATTCATACAAACTGCACACATATTTTCCTTCTATGCATCCTACACATAAACTCATCTGTAAGTTTGTGAGCGCCAAGTAACGTGTGTAAAGCACTGGAATGTGCAGTTTTTAGATCCAAATATTGAGTTGCTTTGAGGCTTGTTAGCAGTTCCAAATTATTCTGTATTGTGGGGGAGATCTGGGTCGGACTCACTTCCAGTCTGGTCATAGTAATTCTATCATGTTTAACTACTTTGCATTTGAATGTTTGATTTTTATGATTTATCCTATATACTACTTATGTTTTGACTTCCAATGATATTTTCATGTTATCCTTGTAATTGCCCTATGAATGGGTGCTCGGTTTGACTTGATCATATAGATATATGTTAGCTTTTGATATGGTATTGGAGCTTATGTTGTCCCAGTTTTTTTCCCCATATCATACCACTGTCTGTTATTCAAATTGAATCGACTGCCAGCACTATTGTCATTATTATTGTGGTTTGAACTTCGAACATGTTTTTAGTACCTTTGATGTTATCTTCTGCAAAATTATGGACGTTTTACTGTTTAATTTACCAAGTCTTAATTGAACATTATTAATTCAAACGCCTCTTACTATTACTTTTTTTATATGCAGATGGAAGATCGTGATGGTGCGGATGAAAGATATAATCCTGACTCTGACATGGATATTGATGGAAGGTATTCCTGTCATTTTTTTTCTTTTTAACCCCACACGTGCCCACCCAAGATCAAAACCGGGTTGTAGCCCCCAAGAGGGGATGCTTCGCCACTTGATCTACAAGAGTTTGGCTGGTATTCCTATCATCTTCATACATCCTAGTCAATTTATAATCTATGAGAGCCATCTGATTTTTCTACACTCATGCAGAAAGCCTTTGCCTGGAAGAGTGAAGACTGAGATTGTTGAACCTGAAGCTAAAAATACAGTAATTGCCTTTCCACTTAACTTCATCTTATGCAATTTGAAGTTGCTTAAATTTTCTAGTGTTTTCTTTGACATTTCTCATTGCTTTTGTTAATGAATTGACATTTTCGATCAAAAGTAATAAATAATAGAGTGGCCTATTTACAAGTCATTTTAACAATGGTAAATTAGGTAACAAAATGAAAAGAAAAATTTATAAACATGTAAATCTATGATCTACAGCAAGTAACAAATTAATTCATTGTCTAATCTCAAAATAGCACTACAGTTTTGGTGCATCTGATCTTAGCACCCGGGTGTAATCTTAATGTGGTTATCTGCATGAATTCATAAAAAATCATCTCAAAGGATATTCAATTGTTTGCTTGAGCTTGTTTACTTTATAGAAAACATGATTATTAAATTACCTAAATCAAAGCATCCCCAAGAGGAATAAGAAGTTATACATGGTTGATGCATGCAAGAAGTCTTGGCAGTCGCTTGATACCATTGTTTCTCTTGTTTATACAGGATGATATCAAGGAAGATGAACGAAATATGGACGTGGACTTGAAGTGCTCTGAAAACGTTCCCTGATGCTTCTTTGCGATCCATAAGTAAGTCAATACCACAACATAAGCATCTACAATTGAAGAAATTATATAATAATAGCAGGCCAAATTTATAGTTTTATTATTGCAGGAAAAATGAATAGCGACGGGAACATGAATGGCCTCTGGAATTGGATGTTAATTGGAATCTTCAACATGTGTATACTTTTGGAGATGCATTCTGTTTATCACTTGTTTCTTCTCATTATTATAATATTTGACTACACACTCATGCTCTCGCCATAACATCCGAACCATTGCTCTATAGTTACTCTGCAAGCATTAATCTTCTGGTAGATATAAACTTTAGGAGGAGCTTAAAATGTCTCCCTCTCCCAAATATTGCTGCTAATTGACTGTTGAAAAACTAGTTGGAGAAATCACTTTTGGTGAAGCATTTGTGAAGATGTCTATCTATACATTTCATGCTTTCCCTTGTTTTTGTTTATATGATGTTTTGTTTCATAGAGACAATGGTGAAGAAATTGTTGGTGCTGAGAATCAAGTTCTGCAGCGAATAGTCAACACCCGACTCCTAAAGGTGCGTGATTATACTTGTTCCGTATCCGTGTCTATAAGGAGAAGGGAGTAGGGTAGGGTAGGGTAGGGTAGGATATTTCCTGATATCTTGTAGTGTATAAAATAGTTGGCAAGTATATTTACTTAGGCAGGCGTATTACAATGAAAATGTGTTGGTAGATGCTATTTTATTTTATAGATTTGCAGATTTTGGAAGAACAGCTAAACACATAGAGGATTTTGGAGTTTAAGTTTTGAAAATAGAAAAATATTGAGTATAATATCGTGTGATGTTAATAGCTTCTAAATGCCAACATGACTTCTAATTTTTTTAGGCCCAAAAAGTAAGTAAAAATAGATGTAAGCAGATAGTTCATTGGCCATGGTGGTGCTGTGCTAGTCATGTTTCATTCTCAAGGTGTTTTTATTTGTCATTTACAGTTTGATTTTTATTATTTTTAAACGAAATAGTTGTTAATATAAACTTTTTATGATTTTTTTTGTTTTCAAACTGAGAATGATGAATTTATGATTGAAAAGAAAAAATAATCCAATACAACATTACTTTTTCTATCCATTAAAATTATGTCAGCAATTACATTTTTTTTTTCTGTTAAATTTATGCACATTCTATTGTAAAATACTTTATATCTATTTATAATTTTATTTTTCTTGTTTTTTGTCAAATAATAATAATTGTCATTATTTTTTTAGTTACCGGACTATTTTTTTATTAACTTATTAATACATTTTATATAATATATTTATTTTATTTTTTACCTACTTTATATTAATATTATTATTTTTGAATCTCCGTAGTTAATTAAAACTATATTTTGGTGTAAGGTATATATATATTTTTGGCACAATGTTTAAAAAATAGTAGTATTTTATTATATCTAATGTAAAAATTATTGTCTTTTACTTTTTAATATAAAAATACTTAATGGTAAAATATGAGTTTCTTAAAAAAAAAATAAATAAATAAATAAGTGATATTCATAGTTATTATTATTCCAAAAGAATCTTTATCTAAAAAAAAAATAAAATAAAACTATTAGTTTTAATTTTCTATTACAATACCCTTAGAATTTCATCATTAACTATTAGCCCAAAATAAAGATTATTTATTTGTTAACTCATCATCGCGTACTCATTATGTATTATAGATCCAAAAGATAATAATCAAACTATAAAAAGACAAGATATGAAATTTTTTATCCAATGAATAAAAACATCTACATACCCTGTCTAAAGAGAAAAAAAGAAAAAAAAAATTCTTTCTGAAAGTTGGTGTTTTAATAAAATAATATTAATAATAATAATAATAATAATTATTATTATTATTATTATCATTGATGTAATATTTATGAGATGAAATAAATATTTTAATATAATAATATGCCAAAAGTAATTTTGAGATGTATACTAACAAAGGCTTGCATCTTCGTATTTGATTCTCATGCAAGTAAGTCATGAGTAAAATCAATAGTTTACACTTGCAAATGAACAAAGCCAAGGCCTTGTAGATGCTCCCTCCCTTTTTTGATCTGTTTACTTTTCTTTGTTACTCTTTATAAATATATTTATAAACTCGCTCACTTTCTTTGATTGTCTTTAGCAAAAAAAATAAAACAATTTACTTTTTTGGCAAAAAAATTATAGTACAAACTTTTACTCTTTTTTTTTATTATTCTTTTTTTTTTACAATGAAATGCAGATTATACACATCAAAATTTTATCTAAATCCGTTAAATTTGTTTTTACATTACGAGGAGAATTTTTTTTTTTTAACCCCACATTCACATGCACACGCATCCACCCAAATAGCATAATTTTAATAAAAAAATTTTGACTTTTTTGCCTTTATTTTTTTATTAAATATGTTTTTATAAATTAGATTCAAGACAATAAAAGACAAAAATGTAAATAATAATAAAAAAAAAGTTTGCAAATATTATAGAACATTCCAAATTAAAATTAATAACAACTAAAATTGAAATAAATCAAAAAATTTAAGTTTAAAAAGATAGTTACTATTTTTTATTAGGGGATCAATCAACAGGATATTTAACTTGAACAACTATCAACTATATCCATCACTTATCATCCAAATCCATATTAGTCTTCCTTTTATTTTCTTTTTGAACATATTTTAGGTTAAACTAATACTATGTTAAACTATATGTTGCACGGTGTTTGAAACGGAGGAAATATTTTATATGGAAACAATGTGTCGATGCAATATTTAGAAAAAACAATAAACTAAATAGTAAAAAAATTATGAAAAGAAGAAGATGATGAGGGGAAGTGAAAAACACACACGCACATACATGTATAAGTAATTTGTTATAAATAAATATTAGAGTATAAATTTAATATGAACTTGTATTATTATTATTATTAATTATTATTATTATTTGGTCTTTCAATTTTCAAACATTTATGTGTATTTTAAATAATATAACTTGATATATAAAACATGTTTTATTCTTAACAAAAGTCTTTTAATAAATTAGAAAGTTCAAGTGTGTATGTGCTTGTGGAATTGGTAAGTCACTATTGAACATCTTTTGTATATATTTGTAACATATGATTTGATCAAATTAGTACACTAATTTGAAACAATTAATATTTATTATATTGTGTTATATAAAAATGTATTGTATAAATTATACATCGTGCTATACTGTATAGTCTACTTATTATACTAAAATCACAAGATATTGTATTATATAAAATTATACAAAGTATTATATTATATAGTACATTAACATTTGCTAAATTGCTATATGAATTATATATTATATTGTGCTACATAATCTACTTATTGTACTGAAATTAAAATATATTGAGCTACATATGATTATACAATATACTATCAAAATTTATATTATATATTATATTAAAATATGTTATCGAATTCGTACTACTTTCTTTATAAACGTATATTAATTGTGTTAATTTGATCCAATCGAAGTAAAACCCTTACCACATTTTAAGCACAAAAATTTAGGTATACCAAATATTGTATAGCATGTTAATGAACCAAACACACCCCGCCATCTCTATAAAACATTGAGCAAATAAATGAATTCTTTACGCAGCTCACAAGAAAATTTCACCAAAAACACTTAATAGTTATTATAGAAAATCATGTTTAGGTTCACTCTTTTTTTTTTTCAATTCAATCTATTTTTCCTAAATTACTATCAGGTCCAACTCTTAATTTACAAATCAAATTAAACAGTTGTTTTCATCTAAAAAAATATGAAAGCAAATAAACATCAACAGCCATGTTTCCTCTCCATAAAATTCAAATTGTCATTCTGGTTTTGAAACAAATTTGACAATTATTCATGCTTCTCAAAATTTCAAATTTCTCAAGATACCAAGCAAAACAAAAATAATATTCATTCCGTCCCAATTCAGTCCCAATTGAGAGTACCATTTTTATCATTTTCGTCTATCTCACTTTGAAGTATCTCTTCATTTCCTATTTTATGAAAAAAAATCATACACTGATACCAAAATATCTTTAATGTTTACTTAAATTACAAACATACATTTTATGTTTTATACATAAAAATCAAATGACAAAAATGTCAAAAATTCTTACACACTTCCACTAACTAATAAGAAGAGTATAATTGTAAATAATTAAGAATATATTAGTAAAATAATTATCGTATAATAATAATAATAAAATATTAAATTGAGATTGAGATAACTAATTAGTGTAATTAAAATTTAAAAAATTATAAATAAAAAAAATTAAAATGAGATTAAAGTGTAAAATCCTTTTCCAAAAAAAGGAAAATAACAGAATAAGTGCAATATACGAAAATAGAAAAGTGGACACAGTAAGTGTAACGGAAAGAGTATTATTTTTTAATATTCTACAAAACCCCCAAAGGACCACTTTGATTTGGGATGAAGAAAATACTATTTGTCTGTACCACTAAAAAATACCACTTTCTATTTTTAATAAAAATAATTATATATTAATACAAAAATACTCTTTAACTTTTATTTAAATTATAAATATATTAAACATACAATAACTTTATACATAAAATCAAAGGACAAAAATATCAAAACCTCTTATACACTTTCACTAACCAATAAAATATTATTATTTCTTAAATTACTACAAAACTCCAAAGGACATCTTTAAAAAGAAACGGAGGGAGTATTAGTTTGTCGATGGGTCTATTCTTCCAATAAATTTTTCTGAAATATTTATCAATTAATATTATAAAAAAATATAATACATACATCCTCAAACAATATATTTTTTTCTGAGCAATCCCAAAGTTAATATATTATTCTTTATTTATTCCAAAAAAAAAAAAAAAACATTAACAATATATACATATTTTATTGAGATGCTTCTCAATATCTCACATACAAAAAAAAAAAAGACACACAGTTAAAAATCATACATCTATTATACAAAGGATCTTGTATTGGATAAATATAAACGATGTGAAAATCTTAAAATAACCTTCTATTACTAGAAAAATAAAATAGATGATGCATAAAAAGCTTATTTTATGCAAACCACACCCACCCCTAGCACGCAAATTACCTTGAATTGCATAGAAATAAATATGATAAAATTTTAAATATAATAAAATGAAATTAATGATGTCAGCAACTTGTCTCTCTAATAGTATTATCTAAAACATTAGCATGTACTATATTTTCTTCCAAGGTCATCTACATACATGTAATTTTTAATCATCTTAATTTTTTTACTATAATCGACTCGATGCTACTACTGTGTAGATAGGAAACTCATCACTCCTTAACCCTTTTCCCACTCAATCATTACTAACCACCTATTAATGCCATGTTTAATTAAGACCTAATAGTGTTTACTTTTAATTGATTATAAAATTATTAATTCTACCTAGATACCTTCAATTATATGAGAAATATTAATAATTCTTTGTTATAGTATTACTATACCAAACCTTACATTATAATAATATATAATTAAATTAGATAAAATAATATTATGCACCATAATCATTTAAAATAAATATACCCTTATCATATTAATAATATAGTTTTTAAGGGCAAAATAATAAATAAATAAAAAGTATATCAATATTATGTCACTAATTGTTACAAAACTAAAAGTAGCACAAGTAATAAGACAGCAAGAGTATATTATTATCATTATTATTATTATTATCCTATAAGATTATTTTATTTAAATTTTTGATATTTTACAGTAGCATGCTCCCCTGCTGGGAGAAGAGTTACATATGCCTTAATGAAAAGAATATGTCCATCATATTTTAAAGCAACAATTTATCTAATTGGACAGACTGATATATGTGCATGCAACACATTCATTAAGAATTCTTTATTTTTTATTTTTAAAGTAGATATATATTATACAAATTGGGCTACTCGTCTTTATTTTCATAGGCTATGTCTTATTTTATAAATAAAAATTATATTCATTGAAAGAAACATAGCCTATAAAAATTAGAGAAGGCGACCAATCTAGCTCACAATTAAATATAATTAAATAATAGTGCTCACAAGCTGCATAACATGAATGAAGTTAGTAATTTAATAAATAAATATTTTTATAAATTATAATTTGCACAAATTGGATTATATAAATTTCATGCTACTAATAATAAATTGTTGATAATATATTTAATTTTGAGACGAGGGCTACCTGAGAAATGAAAATGATGCCGTGGAACTGGTTGGCATTAGAACATCTTGGCAGCCTATTTTGTCACCACTAAATAAATATCACAGCAAATATTAGAGACCAAATGGAAACATGAAATGGCATTGGACAACAAACATAATATTTAACGTGGTATATAATTAAGTGCCAAGAAAATAATGCAGAAATAAATACTAAGACAATAGTGTTCGTTGATATCTTTGTGAATTACATGCTAATATATTAGCAATTATCGTTATATAATCGATTTCATGTTTTCGTTTTTAAAAATACTGGTGTCAACACAACATATTTAATCAACTAAGGAATGAATTGGGGGATGAACTCATGAACTCAGGTCATAACAACTACGGATTCCCATATTATCAAAAACAAAAAAATAAGAAATGAATAGTCAACACTACTGAATTTACTATCATTCAATTAATTTATAATAGAATATAAAATTTTAGTTAAAATATCAAAATGTTATAGATGCCTCTAATAGTTATAATAGCTAATTTAAATGGAGTACTTTTAGGAAGAAACGAAGCAACCCTTGGGTGTGCATGTGTGTGTTTCTCTGAGTTTTTATCTATCTTTTATTGTTTGATCTCTACGTCTTTTTGAAAAAAAAAAAAAAAAAAAAAAATTCTTACAAAACATCACATCAAATATTAAAATATAAAGCCTCAAACCTAACCCAAAGTAAAAAGTAACACAAAATGAAGTCTTAAGGTATTACAATTACCAACTCTCACCACCACACAAGTCAACTATAAACCAAGAGAGGCGCCCGAACTTGATTAAAGAGCCGATGTTCACCAATTTTAATTTTGACGACGCACTCTTTGGCATATTGTTATCATTGCTAGTGAACTTAATTTAGAGCTTGTTTAAGAAGTTATAATTACGCGACTATTATTTCTATCCATTAAATAACTATTTAGATCACTAGTTATTATCCTATTCCTATCAAATACTTAGCTAACCACTGGTGGTAGGTAGACCTATTAAGAGTGCAACTTCTTTTTTTTTTTAATCACGGTATAAAACAATGCAAATATTTTGGCAGCATCGAATACTCAGCTAGGGTGACATGAAAAATGATTGTGCATCTCGCAAATGGTACAGAAGTAGAAGAGAGTACACATACCAGAAGCCATGATAAACAATCCACTAGGAATTGGCATGCATACAGACTACGTGCTTCTCCTGCGCAATACGCAAGCGAATAATTGGAATTTGCATTATTAAGGCGAAACAAACTTGCTTAAAAATCATAGTTGCCAGTGGAAATATATCATTCATAACTTGCACGGTTTTGTCATTCCATGTTTGCAAGCAATCTATTACAGTTTTTATTTGTCGTTGCAGCATTTATAATGAGTTTCTTTAACTCGTGACCCAAATCCATATCCCAAAATCAGAAGTTTAGACAAGGCAGTCAAGCTCATGCCATATCAAACACATACAAAAGTACCTAATAAAATTATCTTACACAAAAAAAATCGCATTCTTACAATAAACCGTAGGCTGGAAATCATTCTCACAATGGCATTGGCTAGTAGATACGGGCAAGAAAGAATAGCAATTTCAAACGAGTATAGTAAACAGAATTCATCCATTTTCATATTCTATTGGCTATTGCTAGTATGTTACCATCAAATGCCCTGGAATGTTTTCACACCTAAACACATGTTATTTATGTCTTGTGAAATATTTGAAAATTAATCTGTGTGTTTTGTACATGGCAAATAATTCCAAAATTGTCTCCATAAAGAAAACATGAAATGAAGAGAAGCAACTTTTTTCAGTTCTTAAGTGGAAAAACTCATCTGCAACTGAGATATCTACAAGAATATGCACATGGTTGAGTAAATGTCAGCACCGCCAACTATTGACGTGAATGTAGACTGCCAAATACTATGGTATCAAGTCAACAACATGTTGAAGCAGTCCACAACCTGAAGGTAAACATAAGGGAGGTCAACACCAAATATCAGACGAAGTATAGAGGAAGTTCCAAAATTAAAAAACAATCAATATGATAAAGGTCCATAAAGAAATGAAAAACAGTGCAGAGAAATATCAAATATGTATTCATCAATAACGGAAAAGGAATATACAGGGCATATCCCATCAGAGAAATATCAAATACTCCCTCCGTCATTCAAATCTATGCCCACTTTCCTTTTTGGGTGTCATAAAAAATTATTCTCGTTTCCCTTTTAAGTAAAAAATTATTACATTTTTGTACCATTTTTTACTATAAAAGAAAAAATTAACAATTATTACTCACTTTTACTAATTCCCGTGCCCGGTCAAATGAGCACAGATTTGCATGGCGAAGGGAGTATATAATATGTATTCAACAATAATGGCAAGGAGAATAAGGTATACCCTTCCCTGAATTAGGAAGTGTCATTAAGCCATGGATGTTCGTTGGGCATCTGTGTAATGTGATGTGTAACAAGACAAGTAATGATGTCTCTACATACTACATACATAGGGGATCACTATGCAGAAAGCCTAACAAGCTTGAGGAGAGACTGTAGAGTCTCCCAAACTACATCTTAGAGAAACAATGGTGCTAAATTTGAGAGCTGAGAGCATTTTTATCAAGCTACAATAAATGTAATTTAGGGTATGCAAGGAAAATGTTTGCAGGGTTTAATCTAATGATATGGCTTCCTCTATAACAATATAGTATTCCCACATAAGTCCAAAAAGAAATGCAAATGAAAACAAATGATACAATAGATGCCACGACCACTATATGAAAAGTTAAGAAGATACATAAAATAATTATAGCACATGAAATTTTCAATCAAAATCAAGGTTGTCACGGCGCACTTTTGCAGTGCGCCGCCTGTGGACCGCCATTGCGCCCACCATGGCGGCAGAATGGCGAACACTGCGCATATATATAATGTATATATATACTATGTGTTATTCATATTAGAATAATGTTTGATAGGATATTTTGTAAAAAAAAAAAAAAAAAATTATTGGGAAAACATAGAGTCTAAATAGTAGAATTTTTAAGGGTTTGGTGCAAAAAATACACCCTAAATACCTAGACAAACAAAATAAATGATATATAAAAACTAAATAATTATACAATAAATAATACATAATAATGCAATATACTGTTAATATGATAGTATAAATAAAAAAATAGCACTACTAGAGTTAGTGAAATCCGAGTCTAGAACGCTAAAGCACATTAAGATTAAAATGTTGGACGCGGCAAATGAAATGGTGGGATGGAACAGCGAAATGAAATTCCAGATAGGGAGAGAGCAAGGGGGAGAGAAAGGATGGCGAGTTAGGATTCAATCGTTATGGTTCGATCGGGCTTATGGGTTTAGGGGCTGAGGTAGGTGTAGTTTTGGGGGCTTAGGCTGACCTAGGCTGAAGACTCACAATGTATTGGGCTAACCAGGATAGCGCCATGGCGTCGTTGAGGCGTCGCCAAGGCATCTTCAAGCCACCTTGTTCGATATGGCAAGATAATATGTCCCGGCGCTTCCCAAAAAGCGCCAGAACGCCATGGCGATGCCATGAAAACACTGATCAAAATACATGTTAAAAAATCTATAAATTACTGTCATTCCCACTAATAAGTCTGCGAACAAAACAAAATGTCAAAATAATTTATTATAGAAAGTGATAAAAGTATAAATAATCTGGTCAATACTAATTCGATAAACAAAATGATCAAAGTTAATCACATTCAAATCTAATAGATAATTGTCTTTCCTCATTTGCACTCTCCTCACTACTACTCTTAATAAATGATAGTTATATCTCCACTCAACCCTCCTTGCCACAACAAGCCATTGCTACTGCCAGTGCATAAAAATGCCATGATGGAGCGGCGGTGGCAGCAAACAAACTGCTCCGCTCTGTAGCAGTGCAATAGTGGTGCTATTGCATGCCATCGGCTAGTAAAGAAAAAATAAATACTTCCATCTTGATTCAAATTCACAACTGAATATTTTACATTAGAATAATAATAATAAACAAAAAGAAACAGTTAAATGGAAATAAAAATATGAAAGTAAAAACAAAAAATGGGTCCTACCATGACAGAGCCATGATCATAGGCAACTTCAGTTACATCTATGTAGTTAGCAGATGCCTGTAAAAATTTAGTAATGAGGAGAACGACTCAAATAAGAGAGAGAATATTGTAAAAAGTGAATTGTACCGTGCCAGAAGATAATAGCCTCAATTCATTGACCCGCGACACCTAATGGATAAAGTCAGTCAGCATGAAATTCAACATAAATGTAACAGCAAAAATAGAAAAGTAACCAGTTCTACACTGAACAATCATAAAACTACCAATCATTGACACAAACCATTTCCTCTTGAACAAAATAACCAAATAAACCCAAAATAACTTATCATGAAGCAGCGACAGTGCAGTTCTGAATAAAACTGACTATAGCATCAACAAATAGAAAGTAAACAGAAACATGACTATAATAATGTCAACAAAATGCATACAAAATTACAAATAAGTACCAGAAAATTAAAACACAAGCAAAATATTGATAATTCAATAGTGGCCATAAAATAGGGGAAAATATAAGCTAATTTACTTAAGTTGTAAAAATGCTTATCTGAAAGCAAGACTTTTTTTATCTTTCGAGGAAAAAAAAAATTACTTTAGATCATTGAGAAGTTGGATTATCCCTAGTTTTGATAAGTTTGATACTAAACTTGATAAAAAGACTCACTTAGCATAAGATGTAAGTACGAAGAGTTCTGTCTTTAAATCCCTCGGGCAAAATTTCAGGGATGAGTAATCGCTTACCAGATTAAAGATCGCTAACAAAGTAAGCAATGTATTGTCTTACCTTCGAGAACCACAATTGCAAGGTATTTTGTTCTCCTCCAGTGGAAACTTGTAATTATAAGTGAGTTCTTCGCCAGCATAAATATGTCGCTTCGAATATATGAAAATCTTTTTATGCCCATCAACACTTATAACTTTTGTGTAGCAATTAGGCTGCATGCAAGTAACAACATTGAAATCCAACTGTAGAACGATCATGATACAGAAATTAGTATATTAGCTTCACATAAACCCTTTGTAAATGTTACCTCACAGGAATGATTTATAAATCTAGCAATCCCTCCACGCTTTGTGGCATCAACCTACAGAAATTTGGGTTAATGGTAAGGAAATGCTCAAGGACTGAAAGCCCACTTGACTAACATTATACAATAGTGTGAACATGCCAAAGTGGGTTCCATGTATATAATGGGAAAAGAAAGGAACTATAAAAGCAAAATCAAGTGGAGCTTTGTTGCAAGTAGAATGTTACAGTGAAGAAAACCTGACACTTGACATTTTATTTTGTGCTTCCTTCGAGGGGAAAGCATTTTCTATGCTGAGTAATTCATATTTCCAATATTACTTACCACATAACCATCATCCAATCTAAAAAGGTAACTGCTCCCAATTCCCATCTTCTCATACTGACGCTCACGTATGTCGGATATCTGAAGAATCAAGTGAACATATTACATAATTAGTTGAAGGATTTGAATCGAAATTGTATTGACAAAGAATACCAAATGTTCTAAGAAATTCATCTGTTTTATAAATAGCAGCAAACTGATGGGATGCCACATTGGTTTCTACAATTTTGAGCTCCAAAACGTCACTTATTATTCGTTTAACGAATCTGAGGAAAAGTCAAGGTTCCATCTGTCTATAACCAAATACTTCCAAAGTGTGAAACTCCAAATAAATATAACTTAGCTTTAAGAGTCCAGTTCATGAGCACCACATGTTCCAGAAATTTTGTTATTCCCAAATGAAAAGCTATTATATGTAAAATTTTAAAAGGGCAAAATGCAGAGAGTGCGCACAAGGCATAGAAGCTAGACTCAATGACGTCATAAAAAACAAACAATAATAATAATAATAATAATAATAATAATAATGAATGTAGCTGCTTACGCAGGGTCGAATCAACTCTCCAACATATTCTATAACGAAATCCTCTGCTTCAATCGGCTCCAATGCAATGAGACCCCAATCATGTATTTTGCTTCGTTGAAAACAGAGTCGTTTTTTCCTTGCCTGGTCAAAGAAAATTTTAAATAATAAACCAAAAGAGCTGAAATAGGTCAGGAAGTCCCATCACTCATTACCTTCAGCTGAGTGGCTTTCAGAAGATCAGCACCCTCAGCAGCAGCAAGAAGATTACGTAACTTAGCCCTGTTTGTTCTTGCAGAAAGACCCTTCACATTTGATGCATGAGAACTACTGCACTCAGAATTACCATATGTGGAATAAATGTGAGTGCCCCTCGCACGAGCTCTTTCAGAAGGACGAGCATTCATAGCCCACATACGCCATTCCCAACCATTGATAGATGACCTAGCACAGCCATCTGACTGGGGACATGGTCTCACTGCCCTAGACTTCTTTTTTTTAATCTTACATGCATCAACCCGGGGTTTTAGGGTTTGTGTTTCAGTGCCATTTGCTTGTTTCCGGACTTTCCCAGACCGAGAGTGTTCTCCATTATCAATTAGCTGTTTCCTTTTAGTTTTTGAGACCTTACCGACTGAACTAGAGACTGTAAAAGAGCCAAATAATAACAATTGACATCAATATTGGAAAATCACATCACAAATAATCTCAATCTATCACAGAGAGAAAACAAAATCAGTTGATGAGACGGAGATAAAATATGAAACAACATTTTGTCACATGGCACTACCAGTCAAGAATATGGTAATCTGGGTAGAAAAGGATTCGGCGTATTAATCTTTGATTAACCCTCTTATTTGAATATTATTACAATAAGCATCAAACTACTACTATTTGCAATTGACCAGAAGAGATAATAGTAGAAAAACATTAAATTAATTAAATTAAATACCTAGATTGGCAGGATCATCAACTTCCAATATTTGACTACAAGAGTGTAGGGATGACACCTTTTCTCCAAGTATACGAGCATCAGCACATTTGTCTCCGTTGTGCCTTGAAACCCGTTTCTCTGAATTAGAAGAAAGTGCCTTCTGGCCTCGAGTAGCCTGTGCTACACTCTTAATGGTGCAATCCCTCCTTGACTTTTTGGACCCTTGTTTGAGATTATCAGTATCACCCCTACTTAGAGACTGAAACAATGAACGTGGCCTTTTACCAGTCAATTTCCTCCTTCGAGAATATACATGTCTTCCTATTAATAAAGATGCTTCTGAATTTCTTTCTTCATTGTCATCTCTTTCTTTATTCAGCAAATCTACAGTTACCTGGTAAAGTAAGGTCAAAAGATGAAGCAAGAAGATCTATTTTATGTACTAGCTACTGAAAATCAACAATCTGACCTTGAAATTACCTTACTAGTTGATCTATATCTCTTTGGAAAGCACGTTGACTTCAAAGCTTTCTCTATGGCATCATCAAAATATAAAGATTTCAATTTCTGAACAATACATTCGTGTATCCTACTGCGGCTCATCATCAATGCAACTTGATAAGTAGTCTTCAAAGTAGGACAATCTAATTGAAGGGATGAAACTTCCCGAGTTGGTGGTAAAACACATTGTTTTGTAACTTCCGCAGATTTTGGTGGTCGTAACTCATCAACAACCTCAATATCAACAGAGTCACTTACATTATCCAGGTGCATAGGCAAATTTTGAAACTCTCTCCTGCAGTGCAACAAAAGGTTTTGCTTCCTATTTTCTTCCAACAGATCTGGGAACAACTCATCTACTTCGACACTAGGTGAATCGTCTAAATGAACAGGCAATTTCTGAAATGCAGCCCTCGATAAATTTGTCGCAGAAATTTGGCAACTGTGGTCTGTCTTCTTGTGTGATGGATGTTTAACCAATTTAGATTGGCATTGAGGATCATTTGATAAGATTTGTGCTGAAACATGTATGTCTTCTTCAGTATCATGGTTGTGAAGATGGGATTGATAATTGACCTGCCAAGATCCACTACTCTTACATGAGATGAATATACTACAAAGTCTACAAAAACACGAATATTTGCAAGAAAACTCCTTCTCTTATGGGAAGAAGATCATAACATAAAATAATATAGACAGCTCACACCATTACCTCCTTTGCACAACTGCTTCGAGAAAAATCAATTGTTTTCTTCACTTCCTCATCTATAAGCTCTTTATAGTAATGTACCAGCGAAAACTTCGAAGATGAATGAAGGTCATTCAGTATATTTTCTAGAATGAAATCCATGTCATGACAGGAAAGACCAGAGCCAAGCAGATTATCTTCAGAAGTTTTAACTCTCTCACAAAGTGAAGATACTGGTGAAGACCGCAATAGTTGGTCCTTGGTGCTCCTTGCCAGTTCAAAACCCGGTGGGCAATCCATCTCTAAACAAAAAGAATCTTCTGCACTCTTATCCTGCAAGCACATGGACATTAAAACAATATGAACATCAAAATAGCAAACCAAAAAATACCAAAACTATCAATACTTACATTGGCAGGAAATTTCTCAACAGCACATGGAGAAGACCAGCGATTCATCCTTCTCCAGTCAGATGAAAAGTTAGCTACAGGATCATGAAAGATGGAATTCCACATGACTTGCAAACAAGAATTGAAGAGCATCCTACTAACAGACATATATGCAGCACAAAAGTTCTCAAAGGTTCCTATTGATTTCAGAGAAGGCTGGGATATAGTTGTTTCACCAATAGGATGCCCATCAGCAGTTTCACCTACTTCTTCTCCAGCTCCAGCAGCAACAAGTTCCTTGATCTCATGACATCTTTCAGGCTGTCATATGAAACATAAAAACAGATACAGAATATAAGTAATGCAACATTTTCATGAACATAAGAATAATTAATCAATATGCCATATCAAGAAACTGATTAGCCGACTAAATCAGTTTCACCTACTTCTTCTCCAGCTCCAGTAGCAACAAGTTCCTTGATCTCATGGCATCTTTCAGACTGTCACATAAAAACATAACAGATACAGGACATAAGTAATGCAACATTTTCATGAACATGAGGGTAACTAATCAATCTGCCATATCAAGAAACTGATTAGCAGACTGAATGAGCAGCTTAACCTTATGACTCCTGTGAGTTTTCCTTGTGGCTAGAGAATCAGAAATTATGCAACTAACAATTTCATCAAGTAAAACTTTACGAGCAGTTTTCATGATTCCAAAGTGAAGCTGAGAGCAAACTTCTTCAGATATCTCAAATATTAAGTTCAAGGGTAAGCCAGTCCCTTGGGTTTTGGGACCATGCACAATGACAGCTCCAAGTCTTCTCCACGTGTTCAGTAGTGATTCCAACCTCATAGGCTTGCACTTATTTTCAGCATGATATATCTAAATAAATGCACCACGATAGCAACAATGAGGAATGGCTAGATGGATAAAAGAAGCATAAAATAGTTCTAACACTGCATAGCAGGAAGGGCAGAAAATGTTATACCAGGACAAAACATAAGGTTAATTTAAGATTAAACAATGAAACTTCTGCTAAAGGCAACAGCAGTAATCGAAATTTTACATACCTCAGGATGGGCACTCACGCACATTAAAAAAAAAAAAAAAGGATTTACACATAACATACAAAGACTTTGTAATATTGAAAGTTCAAAATGTACAAATATTAGAAATGTTAAAACCCAACATCCTTTCATATGACACATACTAGATCGTATGGCAAATGATTTGAGAGCTATGGAGAATGAAAAGCCATCCCCTTTAAAGCCAGGGATGAACCTAACCAAAAACAGTAAGTTTTTTGCCTCATAGCATAAAATTTGCACATGGCCTATGCACAACACAAAAAGATATATTAAAACGAACAGGTACAAGTCTAAAAAAAAATAGAAATCCTACTTAATCTCTGATGATACATTCATACACGAGTCTTTGTTTACCAACCACTCATGGTCCTACCAAATCAAATTATATATATCTTTAATATAATAAGGTAGCATATATTTCCCAATTTAAAAGAATTCCTTTTTATTAGCAAAAGTAAGCTAGTTGAGATGATTTAAATTTTAGACAGCACTTTTTACCAAGCATCTTCAACACAAATATAGATATGAAATGGAATTTATACCTCTTGAGGTTTTGCGGATAGTTAGAACGCAAATAGATCAGATAAGTTAATCCAATCACAAGTGTAAACAAAAGTTTGAGAATCTTAAATATCACTACTTTCAGTACCAAGAGCACATGACCATGCACAGATCTTCATTCTCAATAGAGAGCTGTTGCCTATTAACAATAGCATAGTTGATATCTTTTATCTCAACCAAAAAATACTACAAATCACAATCTCAATAGTTTGACATAAAGAAAAAAAAGCCGCCAAAACCTTGTCCAAGATAATGTCAGGTGAAAATTAAATTCCTTTATAATTTTATGCATACAGTGAGTGGTTGGCGGAGAAAATAGTAAGAGATCAATTGCATAAAATGATACAATTGAAGACTCAAAATGTTTTGGTCAATCACCATTACTGAATTGCGAATGTACCCATAGTGGCACCATGCATAAAGCTCATTCAGAGAGTGAGGCCCATGCTTTCTCTCCGCCTCATCCTCGAACAACCAACAGAACTCATCTCCTGACTTTTATTTCAAAAGGCATGGAAAAATTCATTAGAAGCGGAAAATCATAGGAGTATGCTAGTGGAATCACTGTTCTAAATCCCCGTACCAGTGAGCAGCTTGCATCTATATTCATGTTTTCCGAAATTAATGTCTGGTTATCAACCCCACCCCCATCATTCGTCGACTCTTTTACGCCCGAGACAGCCACGTTTAAGTACACAAAGCCGGTCGTAACATGGTCTGGAAATCGTTTAAAGAAGTTGAGAGGCACAGGATTGAGCAGATTCCCATTCAAAATCGGATAAACCGGGATTTCCTCCGGCAAAAATCCAGTGGATAAGCCTTCATACAATTGTTGTTGAATGTAAGGGCCACACATCTGGCCGCTTTGATTGACGTACATCCACCCGGTCACATACGCACGCGAACTATGTCCTGGAGTCGACGGCGGACCGATATCGGATAGTTGAGAAACTTCACGGTCATTCCCGTTCGATTCTCCATCCATCGCTCCCAAAGTTCCGATCATCAGCGCCGCCGGGCGACGAAGACCTGAGATTTGGATTCGGATCGTCCAACCAAGCCCTAGCTGCAATTGGGGATTTTGGGAATGAAGAAGAATATGGTCTATCCCACAGACTTTTAAATGCAACAATACTTAGTCGGGCGGATCTGCCCCGCCCTACCCGGCTCCGGTGTCAATGGGAGGATTTGGGTTTAATCTCGGCCGGGTCCGAACGGTTATAGATTTGATAATAAAAATCGGATTAGAAGCTGGTAATTTCTATTTCGGTAAAATTAAGGGTCAATGTAAAATTGGCATGATTTGTCCAAACTTCACATTTGATATATAAATTCAATAATGCAAAGTTTTATATTTTTTATGTGTCAAAAATATGGTCTTATTTTTCTATTTTTGTTCTTCTTATTTTTTTTTAATTTAGTACCCGTATCTTTACAATAAAATTATTTTTATTTATCCATAATTACTCATAATTATTACATTAACCTACATTTAAAATCTTTCAAAAAATAAAGTAATGGAATAATCTTTCATTTTATAATTTTGTAGATAAATTGTTATAGTTTCTTTACAAAAATTATAAAAATAAATTACTGATAAATTATTTATTTATTTTATTAAAAAAATTATTTACAATATTTTACGAATTTGTATAAAACTTACGTAATCAAATCAGTTTTTGATAAAGATAGTGTTCGGTGCAAATTTTATATTAATACGAGGAAATTTCATGGAATAAATAAAACAAAATTAAATTTTTTGTATAGTTACTAAAAGCATAAAAAAATATTATATAATTTATCTTAAATTAATAAATTAAATTAATAAGAGTATTATATTTTTATAATTATTTATATTGTCTGAATTTATAAATTTATATTGTTTTTTGTTCATTGTTTTTATATTTTTTGATTTTTTACAATATTAACCTATTTATTTTAACTTATTATTCTTTCATTGCTCCATCATTACACCAATATTTGCCTTTGATATATAATATGAATATTGTGATTAGGATGTGTTTCTTCAACATTATTTTTTTAAAATTTTACTGTTTTAAGAATATAAATATATATATATATTAACAAAATATGTTATTAAAATATTATTTAAATAAAAAAATTAAATCTTGTCAAATCAAATCCAAATAAATAGAATTTGATATTTGAATTTATTTTTTTGAGTTATAATTAAATACCTTATATATATATAACCAATTTTTCGAATTGTCTTCAAACCCAATGAATTTTCAAGGGCGGAACGGATTCTAAAATTTAAAATATGAGGCAAGGTCTAAGCCTGCAAATTAATTTCGGTATATCTTTTCTTTGTACACATGGGCAATATATGTAAAATATATGAATATGTTAATACACATCATTCGTTCCACATATGGTATCTTGTACATTGTAAATACAAAATTTTAAAATTGATATAATTAGTAAATAAATAAAAAATATATTAATAAAAATAATTATAATACAATATAAATAATTATAAATTAAGATAGTTAATTAGTTCAATTAAAATTATTAAAAATATGAATTAAATTTTTTAAATATATTAAAGTATGTAATTTTTTAAAATAATAATAATACGAAAAAAATAAAACAAACTGAAACGATACGTGAAAACAAAATATGAGACAAATAGAGTAATATACAATAACAAATACTCAAATACATTTTCTAACACCCAAATCCAAACTTCTACTATTTGGAGTCTGTATTTTAATTTTTTTTTTCTCACAAGATATTGCATCGTATATTATTTTAATATCAAACAAAAACAAAATAAATTCAAAACCTATCAAAAGAAACACACCTTAAATATATATGTATATATGATAATAGATATATTGTATGTGTATGTATATATGTATATATGATAATAGATATATTGTATGTGTATGTATATGTATATATATATATATAAGAATATATAAAGGTGTGTATTTGTGAGTTCCAGAAAAGGTTTTTATATCATATATGTCCAAACTTAGGTAATGTTTCATCCTCTAAGGGGTGTATTCAATCCGTATTCTGTAGGATTTTGTTGGACATTTAAAATTTAGGTGTATTTAATTAAAATTTTTAGGAATCTTTTAAAATCCGGAGTATTCAATTCAAACTTTTAAAAGTCTTCTTAAAATCTGGAGGTATTCAATACAGATTTTTAAAAATCTTTTAAAATTTCGAGGTATTTAACAATCAAAGTCTATGGATTTTAATGGATAATTGTGAAAATTTTGCATAGTATAAAATCTCTCCTCGTAAGTAGAGATTTTGATGAATTCTTAAAATTATTATTATTATTATTATTATTATTATTATTATTATTGTTGTTGTTGTTGTTGTATAAGTGATAAATAAATAATATGATAATATTTATTAATATTATTATAATTTTTAATAAAAATAATAATTAAAAACTAAAATATATTAGCAAATTATTATCAATTTTTTAAATATATAGTTTATATTATAAATATAATTTAAAAAAAAATATTATTATCATAATAAATATGTATTGCCGTAGTCTTTTCTTTTCAATTATCGAATAAAATATATTATCATTACGGTGTTATTCTTCTTTTTCAATTATCGAATATAATATATTGTTATTCCGGTGACATTCTCCTTTTTCAATTATCGAATATAATATATTGTCATTCCGGTGTCATTCTCGTTTTTCAATTATCGAATATACTATATTGTCATTCCGATGACAGTGGAATAAATATTTCAATATATATTTTTTGTTGAACCGTTAATTTATATTTATTTACTTTTTTATTTTAATATTTTTTCAAAAAATCCTAAATTATGTTTTTTATTTTATTTATATACGTATTTATTTTTTATGTAAAAAATTTATATAAATAATAATAATAATAATAACTAATAAAAAAATATAAAACTAATTTGATATATTGAATTATATTATAATACTAAAATTATAAATTTTAAAATATTAATATACAATATAGTAGTATTACATATGTTACAATGCTTCTACGTTATCCCAATGCTTTACTTTTGTCCTAATTGATCCTGATTCGACAATAGAAGCATATTGATTTTTCTCCAATAACCGAATACTTTTGTTTGTAAATACTGTGTATTTGATTCCATTCATAAATCGATTTTCTTCCCTGTGAATTCTAGTCTCAATAAGAATACTAGTTCTTATTGGTCATATATTATAATATAAATATACCACACCAATTTGTTATGTATGGATAAATAATTAATATTAAATTTTATTTTATAAAAATATAATAATATATAATAACTTTAATTATAAATATATTACATTTATAAAACTCATGTGTTAATAATATATAAGTAACTTTTTTAATTATAAATATAGTATATTTATAAAATTTGTATTTGGTTTAAATTTATATAATTATATATATTCATAAAAAGATTTTTTTATAATCCCACGAAATCCAAATAAATCCATAAGGAATTCAATTAAATCTGTAAAAATCCAGGTAAATCAATTACTAAATTCATCAAACTCAGCGTAGATTCCGTGGATTTTTTAAATATATAGAAATTCATAGACTTAAAAAAAAAAAAAAAAAAAAAAAAAAAAAAAATCTCCATTAAAATCCTCAATTGAATACACCCCTAAATCTTCAATTCAATCTCAAAGGAAAAGAAAAAAAAAAGCACCTAGAGAGGCTTCTTCTGCAGCAGACTTGTTCTCTGAACGTTTGCTTTTCAACCTAAAAATAGTATTACTGTATGATTTTGTTTAAGACATGTAAAAAAAAAACTTATGTTGTTCATCTCAAGCCATCAATAATAGTATTAGTGTATATCCTCTTAGGGGTCCAATTTTATCAAAGTAGTTATTTATATACAGAGGTAATAAATATGCTTGTTTAAAAAAATATGATTGTATTTATATTTTAATTTGATATATTTTGATTTTATAAATCAATAAAAATAATTTTTTAATTGTGATAGAACTAAAAAATTCAAAAAATATTTAAAATATTTTTATTTTATTTATATATAAAATAATTATGTAAGGGCCTCATTTGTTATTTTGCCCAAAGTTTTAAACGGTATTGCATGAGGTGATTAGTCACCAAAATTGGATTGCATGGCGACTTGAAATTTTAACATCTATATAATAAACAAACATGGCACAATGCATGTCATTACTTTCATGCAAGATGACACATAAATCATACATGTGTCGAAATATTTTCCATTAGATATCATTAACGGCAATGAATATATCTTGCTAAAATTTGACTAGAATAAACTCAATGGTACAACTTCTGGTAATGAAAAAAACAATATGTCATTCATGCTTTCAGAATTGTTCTCCTGCTTTGTACTTCATTTGAAATCTCATAGCCCGACACATTTCGATGTTCTTTACTAATTTCTCAAATATTGCAATTGGTAAAGTTTTGGTCAAGAAATCTGGTAAGTTCTCATTTGATCGAATCTATTCCACATCTATTCACCATTTTTCTAAAAATGATGAGTAAAAAAATTTCGGTAAAATATGTTTCGTTTTATCTCCTTTAATGTACCATCATTTTAATTGAGCTATACAAGCTAAAAAAATGTATTATTCTGTTATGACAAAAATTAACTAAAAATGAACTACATAACCCATTATTTATAGATTCCATACTCAAGTCGAGAAACATAGAAATAATATAATTTTCTGATAATAAACACTCAACTCTACCTAAACTTTGGGAGCAATAAATATATTATTTAAAAACACAATCAAAGATAAACCTAGTCCTGTGTGGCATGATTATTTCCATCAGCAATCGCCTGCAAATTTTTCGCATCCATGAAGATTTAACCTTACTTCACCTTGTGTCCTAATAGCATTACTTCTCTATACGCAAATAAGCACTTCTCTAACTTTATGTAGAGTAGAGCCCGTTTTCCTTTCAGGTTTGCAACAATGATTTTAATCAAAATATCATATAGGGGAACGGTTAGGGTGTTGAATTGGAAAAAATCAGCACCCGTAATATATGCAAATAATATATGGTGTGTTGAAATCAATTAGTAATTATGTTGTATAAAACTATAGCAT